CCGCCGCGCGCCGCGCCCGCGCCCGCGCGCCGCGCGCGGCCCGAAGCCGGCTGTGGGTGTCCGCCCCGCCAGCGCCGTCCGCGCCAGGGGCGCCAGCCGGGTGCGCGCCGGCGGCCGCAGCCTTGGCCGTGCGGCGCGCCACCTCGGCTTCCCCCCGGAGTGAGGCCCGCAGCTCCTCCAGTTTCGCGTCGGTTTCTGACAGGTGACGCCGCACCTCCTCATCCGTCAGCGCCTACGGCGCAACCAGGCGCGACGCGGCGGCCCCGCGGTGGAGAAAAATCCAATCAGCAGCCGGAGGTCGAGGCGCAGTTGTTGTTGCTAACCAAGCACGACAAGTGCACACGCCGCTTGAGGAGCATGCAGACCGTTTCGACACCTCAAGTGCTGAAAGCCCGTGCTGTCTGCGCGGCCCAGAGCGCCGCGGCACAGTACTACGACTACTAATCAGCCTGAGAGGGTCAGCCTCGCGGGCGATCATGTAGGATTGGGCCCAATATGCTGGCACCTCGCGGGCAGTCTAGTTAGCGCTCCGAATGGCCCACCTGCTCTGCTGACAGCGCGCCGTCCGCCGTCGCCGCGCCGGCGTCGAGCGCGCGGCCGATTGCGCTGCGCCGCCCCGGCGCCCCCAGGCCCCTGAAGCCGACGACGCTCGTCCGCGCCACGCTGCGCCCTCCCAAGCTGCGGGCATTGCTCGGCGCCTGGCTGCAAATCGAGACGCGGCCGGGGCGGGGCGCCCCCCCGCCGGCTGCGCTGTCCCCGGGCGTGCCTCCGCCGCTGCTGCTGCTGCTGCGGAAGGCCCCTGGTCCGCCCATGACAGACGTCCGACCAAAGTTGACGGTGCTGACGACGGACTGCCGCCGCACCGTCAGCATGGGGCTGCCGTGGCCGCTCGCTGGGCGGCTGATGAGGCTGTTCGCAATCAGCACGCGCTTGCCGCCGCCGCGCGCCGTCTCCAACCCGGCAGCCGTCGGCCTTCCAGATCTCGCCGCAGGTCGGGGCATCGTATTCTCTGTCCGGAGATCTTCCAGGCTGATGCCCAGCTCCTCAAAGTGGCGCCTCAGCATGACCTCTTGCACATTACTGAAAGGCCGTGGGTGAGCGGCAGGGTCGGTTGAGACTGCCTCGAAAAGAAGGCCCCCCCCCCCAAAAAACAAACGCACAGCACAGATGCCTTTTGCGGCGACGACCATTGCCATCACACGGCGACCGGCGCGAGATCCGCCAAACCGACCACGAGTTTTAGACGTGCCCACGTCGTGCCCCTCCTTCTGGTCCAACGCTCATCGCCCCTGCCCATCGCTGCTGTTTCGTGGCCACCCCGCTCACCCGAGTTCGACCATAAAAAGACCGCCATCAGCCGCCTTGCAGACAATGTCCGGCAGCGCCAGCATCCTGGCCTGCAGCCCGGGCGCGGCGGTGATTCCCGCGCCTCCGACGGCCATGGGTGCGGCGTAGCTGCCGCCACCAGGACGTGCGTGCGCCGCCGCCTCCCAATCTTCCGGTTGGTCGTGCAGCCGGGACGGGCCGCTAGGGTCGGGGCGCCCGCGTGGCGCTTCCGCTTTCGATGCCTCCTCGAAAGGGGCGCCGCGCCCGTGCAGCCCGATCAGCGCCCGCTCCACACTGCTGAGCCCTGGGCCAAAGGCCGCGGCGGCGGCCGCCGGTGCAAGGGGCGCGGGTGCGTCGGGGCCCGCGTGCGGCGGCTGCCGCCTGCCGGCGGCCTGCGGCGAGCCAGGGGTTCTCATTGAAGCAGCAGACGGTGATTGGGGGGCCGAGGCCGAGGCTGATGCCAGGCTGGATTTTGTGGCACGCAGCAGCGGGGCTTCGCCGAAGGGGGTGGTGTGCGAAGCGGCAGCGTGGTTTGGTAACGCCGGCTCGCAGCTGCGGCTGCGGGCGCCGGCGGCGCCGGCGAGTGGCGGCAGGGAGGTCCGGGTGTCTGGCAAGCACCGAGTGTGCGAAGGGGGATGGGTGTGTGGGGCATTAGAAGAGGTCCTGCGGGGCCATGCACGCCTCCGCCTACGTCGCTGCACCGGAACCTCCGCATTATCGCATTGCATTCGCGCTCTGCCACCTCGTCGCTGAACGCAAACGCACCGTTGCTGATGCCGCGGCGAGCGTCGTCTGGCGACGCCATCGCGTGCGGCCTCTCCCGCACCCACGGCTTGACCGTCGGAGCTGCATGCCTCCTCTCAGCTGTATTGCAGAGGCTTAGCGATACCGAACCAGCCCGTCTGTCGCAGTCGTCGTTTTGACAAGCTCGGTCACCGCACGGCCTTGCCTCCGAAGCCTCCTCAGCAACGGGAGCGAGCCACATATTAGCTAATATTGTTGCCTCACATGCTGACCTGCGTTCTCAGGATCGGCACACCTGTTGGCCCTTGTGACACTGGCCAGCGCGACCCTGTGACGATGATATGTATGTTGATAAACAGCGCTTGAGTTGCCTGAGCTTGTGCACGGAGCGTTGCCCTTATGATATGCCAGTGGTGGCCAACAGTCACTGCGGGAACACGGTGTTCCCGCTGATTTGCGCGTTTTCGCGGCGCAGCCCCTTGTTCCCAGCAGCACCAGCTGGCTTGGACCAGGCGGCAGTGTCGAAGCGTCAAATAAGAACCCCTCGTGCTTTGAATCAACATTGCCACGTGCTCCCCATTGTCGCGCTATAAACGCAAGTCATACCGCACAGAAATCACACACAACTTATTGCACACACGGCCCGGCCTGCTGCACGCACGACCTCCGCAGCGGCAGCAGGAGCGCCTCATCCTTGAGCCACAAGGCACAGAAAGAAACATAGAGAGACGCGTTGAGCAAAGCTTGCTAAAGGCCAGTAGAAATGCGCACCTCGCAGCCCTGGCCTGCACAGTGAGCTATCCCGCCCGTCGAACCGCAACCGACCAGCACACGGGTACGGGAGAGTAGCCAGCGGGTGACGGCGCACAGCATGTGGCGTGAAGGAGGGGGGGGGTGCAAGGGCAGAACCAGTATGCAAGCAACGCTAACACGAGCAACCAGGTGATGAGAACGGGGCGATCTGCGGGCGGGTCATGCGCAGTTGCGCACTAGCTACAAGCTGTGCACACAGCAAAACGTGGGCGCCCGTGAGTGCGTGTTTCAGGCGCTCCGGATAGCTGCGGGGCAAGTCTGGTACAGCAAGCAGGAGCAAGCCGCCAGCATCCCCGCAAGCCCTGCATGACAGACACAGCACCCCCAGCTGCTCCGTCAAGCACATGATGACCCCTGGCCCACGCGAGCGGAACCACAGTTGCGACCACCTCCAAGTGCCTCCTAGCATCCTCAAGGGAATTCGCATACACGAGACATCCCATGTGGTCACTGCATCGGGTCATCGAGTCGCAAGAAGACCACCCACCTCGGGCAGCTGACTGGATCGCTGCCACCCTATCGCCAACTGGCAGGCCCATCAGACCAGCAGACCAGTCCCTGGGCATCCGGCCGATACCTACTGCCGCATTGCCGCGGAATGCAGTGTTATTATCACCTGGAAACAGCTCAGGCAGTGCCTGTATCAGCTGCTGCCTTGGAGTAGGGGCATCCATGGGGACCTGCGCCTGCGTCTGCAATTGTGTGGGGCGCAGCACACACATGCAGTGCTTGACCTGGCCTTGCAGCCATGATGGCAACGAAGCCGGACCCAGGCTGAGGGCAGCACTGCACCCCTCAGCAGGGACGAAGTTCAGCTGGCAGCGGCCCGCTCTCATGCCCTGTTGCTGTGGTGTGTGCGCAACTGTAGCTTGGCCAAGCAGGGGCCCCAGCCAGCGCGCGCACCGTGCAGAATATGATTAGATATGAACGAGCCTTCCAACCCCATGAGGCAGCCTTCAGTGCCAAGAGGAGGGCCATCGATCACCAACAACTGATCTGGACCATCGGGGGAACAGCCGCGACAAACAAATTGATTCAATACGGGGTCTCTCACATCATATGATTTGGCCTGCCCTTGGCAATCACCTGTGCCTCGACTGGTGACAACTCAAACGCGGTGAGAAGCATGCGCCCCACCCACGCCATGCTGCAAGCACATTGACACATCCTCGCAGCTCACGGCTTATGAATGCGGTTTTGCACCCTTGTAGCTGCACGCCTGCCAGTGTCGGCCGCCGCCACACGTGCGCGCTGCTATTGCTGCATGCGCTCCGCCCATACAACACCTCATGGTTCCAAGACCCCCATCAATGCCTCAATAGTATGCTCATGACTTTCTGACACCACTCTTTGCATCGCCTTCCGGCAAACCATGCCAAAGGCAGGCCGTTAGCCTGCGCACAGGTTGTCGGCTCTCCCACCGCGCGCTTTTCGGCAGCAGCAGGCGTCTCTTTGGGCGCAACCAGCCAGAAAACAAAGCGCCATGAAGGCCGCCCTGACTGGCCGTGCCGGCGCGGCCTGCCGGCCGGCCGCCTCGCTCCGCACCGGGCCCCTGGCCGCAGCTGCCGCGCCGCGCGCACCGCCGCGCGCAACCACCGCGCCAGCGCCCGCAGCGCCGCGCCCCAGCCCTGCGCCAGCCGGCAGGGGGGATGCCCAGGTCGCTGCCGCCAAGAAGAAAGGCAAGGGCGGCGGCGGCGGCGGCGGCGCGCCGAGCGGTGGCGGCGGCGGCGGCGGCGGTGGTGGCAAGTACAAGAGCCCCGGGGAGGTGCGGGACGGGTCTGCCTACACCCAGGAGACGCGGAAGATCATCCTGAGCCTGGAGAAGATCCGGAAGGTGGGCGGTCGACCTGGCTGCGGAGCGCAGCGTTGAAGGGGGGGGGGTGGCTGGCGTGCGCCTGGCGTCACTATGTGGGGACGTCTCTGGAGAAACGGGCGGTGGCGTCGAGAGCGCTTCGACATCAGGAGCGGGGCTTCGGCAGCGCAAGGCAGGGGCGCTGTTGACGCAGGCACGTCCTCCGGATGCGGCGTGGTGGCAGGCTCGTCCGCAGCAGCAGGATGTCAAAGCCCGGGTGGCCGCGGTTTGCTGCGGCCATGCACACGAACCGGTCAAGGATGAACTTAGAAATACAGTACACATTCTTCTTGTCACCTCCTCATGCATGAGCAATCATGTGCATACGCCGTTGCCCAGGTGGCCCCCAACGGCAAGGAGCTCCTGAAGAACATCAACCTGGGGATGTATCTTGGCGCCAAGATCGGCATCCTGGGTGAGATGACCAGATCACCAGATCACCACCACACCGCCAGATCAGACGAGCATGTCGGGCCGTGGCCGCGGCGAGGGGGTGCTGTCGAGGTTGCTGGGGGCGCTGGGTGAGGGTGCAATGGGGGGGCCGGGGCCGGCGCTTGCCGTGAAGGATGGGCGCCTCGGGTGCTCAGGGCAGCTGCTTGCGGGCGCCCCCGCGGCTCCTGAGGCGGCTTTCCAGCCCCAACCTCAGCCGTCCCCGCAAACATCCTCACCACCACCCCCAGGTGCCAACGGCGCGGGAAAGAGTACTCTAATGAAGATCCTGGCGGGTGAGGGATCCCAATCTGCATGCATGGGGTTTAGGGTCCGTGGTGCCCCGAGGCCCGCGTCGCAGAAAGCAGCCTCTCTCGCGCGCGGCGCCTCTACCTCGCAGGCGCCACAATACGACGGAGGCGCGCCGCGCGGCCGCGCGCGGCAGCCGTCCCTTCCCTACAGCGCTTTGCGCCGTCCCTGCGCGGGCCTTTGAGCCCCGGACGCCTCTCCGCGTCGATGCGCTGCCTCACCGCATGCGTGCCAACCCCCAGGCACCGACGAGAACTGCGAGGGCCGTGTCGTGCGCGCCCCGGGCATCAGGGTCGGATACCTGGAGCAGGCAAGCCCCCGCTGCCCCGTCCCGCACTGCCGGGCCAAAACCTTGCCACTTCGGAATAGTGTTTGCGCCGCGGGGCTCCGCACCTGCTCCGTCACCGGCCCACATGTCACCTCGCTTGCCGCCCCCGCTCCTTGTCACCGAGTCAACCCTTGTTTTGTCGTGGGCGTGGTGCCAGCATTGCACTTGCGCCGCCTCACCCAAATCGCAACGTGCTCGTCAGTAGCCTTGGCCCCTCTCGACCCCACCCCACCCCACCCCACC